GCCCTGATGAGTTCTAGCTGTGCTTCCCTTTTTGTGGAATGTGATGTTTACATAAATAGGCCTCCCTCAATTCCTTTATTGGTACTTTGACTGTACCAGTGTTATTTCCTGCTTTTGCCTTGTACCAGAAAATTTAATTGACTTTGAATTCCAACCATCTCATAGCTTCACATGGTCCAAATCCAACTCTTCTTTTCTCTGTCTTTGTTTTTCGAGATAGCGATCCCAAAATTTTACACTATATACACTGAGCAACTCCCAAAGCCAGCTCAAATTCTTTTTACTTGTTCATCAGAAATGAATTATCACCAGCTAGGACAGCATTTATTACCCATCCCCAATGCCATTGGAGATGTTGGTGATAAGTTGCCTTACTGAACTTCTGTAGTTCTTGGGCTATAAAGATGATGCTGTTAGGAAGGAAGTTTTAGGATTTTGACCTAATTACAATGAAAGAACAGTCACAAGTGGCTTGGATAGGAATGTACAGGTGGTAATGTTCCCATGCATTTGCTTAACTTGTCCTTTTGGGTGCTGGAAGTTGGGGGTTTGGATAATGCTGTCGAAGCAGCATTACTGAGTTACAGCAGTGCTTCTTATAGATTGTACACAGTGCTGTCATTGTGCATCACTAGTGAGGGGACTAAATGTTGAAGTTGATAAGTGGGCTGCTATTCAAATGGACTGCTTTTCCTTGGATGACATTGAGCTTCTTGATGTTGGAGAAGCATCTAGACAAGTAGGGAGTATTCTATCACACTTCAGACTTGAATTTTATAGATGGTGGACAGGTACTGGGGAGACAGGTAGTGAGTTACTTGCCGCAGAGTCTCTGGCCTCTGACCTACTGTCATAGCCACAGTATTTATATGGCATGTCCAGTTTTGTTTCTCCTCTGGGATGTTGTAAGTGGGGGCTTCCATGATGGTAATGCCATTGATCCGCGAGGGGGCAATGATTGGTTCTTCCATGTCAGAAATTGTCTTTGCCTGGCACTTATGAGGCACAAATGATACTTACCACTTATCAACTCAAGCCTGGATGTTGTTCAGGTCTTGCTGCATATGAACAACGACTGCTTCAGTATCTGAGGAGTTGCAAACATTGTGCAATTATGAATGAGCATCCTCACTCCTGCCCTTATGACAGAAGAATGGTCATTGATGAAGCAGCTGAAGACATTTGTGTCTAGGACACTCTCATGAGAGACTCCTATAATGATATCCTAGGGATGAGATGGCTGAACTCTGAACAACCACACTCATCTCCATTTGTCCTAAGTATGACTTCAATAGCCAGAGAGCTTCCCTTTCAATAAGACCAGGAACTGACTGGTCTTTGTGGAACTCAGTTGAGCATCAGCATCGGCGAGCTGGTTAGTCCTTGGCAAATTTTGCTAAACAGCACTGTTGACAACCCCTTCGGTCACTTTGCAGATGGTTCATAGTAGGCTCACAGGGCAGTTATTGGCTGGGTTGGATTCAGCCTGCTTCTTGTGCACAGACATACCTGGGAACTTTTCAACATTGTCAGGTAGTTGCCAGTGTTGTAACTGCACTGGACCAACTTGGCAGGGTCACGGCTAGTTCCGGAGTACAGGTCTTCAGTAGTATTGATGGAACGTTGTCTGGGTTCATAGCCTTGTAGTAATCCAATGTCTCTGTCTGTTTCTTGTGTTACAACGCAGGGACAAATCAGACCAAGTCAGACTCATGATCATTGGATATTGCAACACAATGAAATATTCAATGATTCTCAAAATGTCCCAATTTTTCCTAACCAGATTTTAGGAATAACTGATATCAGAGACCAAGTTTATAGCTTGAACAGAAATTAATAATTTATTATTAATACTGTAATTTTAGCTAAGCAAAGTTAAACATCTAGGTAATCTAATTAATATTTATTATTTAAATCCAATCTTCTTTGATCGTAGTCCTCACTCAGACATAGACAGACAAACACAGTTAAGGGAAAATTTAAAAGAAGATAAGAGTTGTAACTGGCCGGTTCCCTTAACCAGTTTTGAACAATGATTGCTAAACCTTGATGCAGTCGTAGGAGTTCAAAGGCATGTGGGATTTTGCTTGAATTCCAAAGTCACCAGACTATGCAAACAGTTTCCACAGACCACTACAGACTTTTACTGACAGAGTGGGATTCCTTTCTCAGAACATTCAATTATTTGATACTGGATGATAATGAGAGAACAATGAAAACTCTGTCCAGTAGCTTTCATGGCTATCCTGCCTTCTGCTGAAATCCCAGCCAATGCAGTTCAATCCATGGTTTCTCTTGTTTTTTCAACATTTTCTTTGTTTGACTTTTGGGACTAGCCTCCCATTGATTGTCCTTTTAACATCTAAGAAACTGCCATTTCTTCACCATAATGCATCTCAGGTGCCAAAATGTCTACAGTGTTTTTGGAACAGTAATTAACCTGCAATTATCTTTCCAGGCTAGTTCCCATAAACAAAATAGTTGTTTGTTTTTTTTTAAGCAAACTTCTGTTCGAAGTTCAACTCTCAACTTCAACTCACAGTTCTAAAAGACATAAGCAAAGAAAAACAGTGATGGTCTCAACATTTGATATGTTGTGGAACGAACAAAACTAGTTGAAGACAGGCATCTCTGATGCTGGGGACTGCGGGAAGGCATTCTCCTTGTATCTGCGTGGGTTTTCTCCCACAGTCCAAAGATGTGCATGTTGGGTGGTATGGCTATGCTAAATTGCCCATAGTGTCCAAGGATGTGCAGGCTAGGTGGATTAGCCACGGGTGATGCAGGGTTACAGGGATAGTGTAGGTGATTGGGTCTGAGTGGGATGCTCTTCGGAGGGTCAGTGTGGACTTGATTGGCCGAATGGCCTTCTTCCACACTGTAGGGATTCTTTGGTTTTAAGAGGCGAAGATGGATCATCAACCTTCCACTGCTGGCTAAAGCTGGTTGCAAATACTCCAGCCCTGTACTCATGTACTTTGCTCCCCCATCATTGAGTGTGGGGTTATTTGTTGAGCCTCCACATGGTATAGTTGTTTCATTGCCCACCACCATTCATGACTGAACGCAGTAGGTTTGCAGACTTCAGATTTGATGTGTTGGTTGTGGGTTCACTTAGCTCTGTCTATTGCAAGCTGCTTCTCATTATTTGGAATGTAAGTAGTTCTGTGTTGCAGCTTCTCTAAATTGATACGTGGTGCTGATCCTGGCACATGCTCCTGCAACATTCATTATCAAATCTTTCTTGTTTTTTCTTTATTTCCTTTATTCTGAAATTATTCAAAATAGCAATTTTTTTTGTATTCCTACTGCAAAATACACGTGACAATAAAGTCAAAATCATTGAATCAATGCTGGGCTATGAGATTACCCATTGTGGTCAGATATATTTCTGCTGCTGGTGATGGCCCACAGTGCCTCATGGATGCCCAGTTTTGATTTGCTTGACCGATTCAAGCCCATTACAGTCAACATGGTGGTGGTGCCATCAATCAAGATAGAAGGTCTCCACAATGACCGAATGGTGGTCACTCCAACTGACAATAACTAGGAGCAGTAGGAAATTCAGCCACTTGAGCCTGCTCCACCAATTCAATATGATCACAGCCCACTCCCCATAATCCTTCAGCCCATTATTAATTAAAAATCTATCTCCACAAATATATTAAATGTCTTAGCATCCCTCACACTCTGATGTAGCAAATTCCACAGATTCACAACCCTTGTAGAAATAATTTCTCCTCATTTCCATTTTAAATCTGCTACTTTTTATTCTAAAACTATTACTTCTCATTCTAGATTGCCTCATAAGAGGAAATATCATCTCTACATCTACTTTGTGAATCCCCTTTGGCACGTTATATATCTCTATTAGATTTCTAAATGCTAGAGAGGATTAGTTGGAACTGCTCAGTCTCTCTTAATAAAACAAACCCCTTACCTCTGGAAATAAATCTACTGAATCTTCTTTGCATTGCCTCCAATGCAACTACATCTCTCCTCAAGTGGGGAACAAAACCATATGCAATACTCCAGGTGTGGTCTCACTAATGCCTTGTACAGTGGCAGAATCACTTGCTTACTTTTATATTCTAATCCTTTAGCAATAAATGCCAAAATTCTATTTGCCTTCCTTATTACCTGCTGTACCTAAATACGAGTTTTCTGTGGTTCATCCACGTGGACACCCAGATCACTCTGCACCAAAACAGTCTGAAGTTTCTCTCCATTTAGATGTTACCTTTCTATTCTTCCAACCAAATTGGATAATGTCACACTTATGGATGAAATCCATCTGCCAAATTTTGGCCCATTCTCCTACCCTATCCATGTTCTCTTGTACCTTTATTATTTCTTTACTGGAACTTGCTGTCCTCCTATTTTAGGGTTATCTGCAAATTTGGCTATAGTACCTTCTATCCCTGTACCCACATCATTGATGTAAATAGTTGGGGTCCTGAGGACTGAGCCCTGTGGCATCCCACTAGTTACATCTTGCCAACTAGAAAAAGATCCATTTATCTGAATTCTGCTTTCTGTTGGTTAGCCAGCCTTCTATCCAAACTAATAAATTACCCCTAACCCCATGAGGTAAAATCACATGTATGAACCTTTTGTGTGGCACCTTATCAAATGGCTTCTGGAAATCCAGATATGCTGCATCTGCAGAATACCCTGCTTGTATCATTTTCGAAGAAGTCTAACAAATTAGTCAAACATGATTTACCCTTATAAAACTATGTTGATGCTAATGGATTGCATTTCGGCTTTCAAAATTTCCTGTTACTACTTGCTATATAATGGATTTTAATACTCCCCCAATGACAGATAATAAACTGACATCATGGTACCTTTTCTGGATTACTAATTAAGTGATATTACCACTAAATCTCCACTACCCTTGGTTATTATTAAAATTATGGTTAAATATGAGGCACACTGCCTTAAATATTAATCAACCAACTACTTTCCTCTATTAAAATTAAAGGGAAAACTGGAGGCAAGTTTAAATCATGTTTAATATTCCACTGAACTCCAGTGCATTCAATTCCAAAAGTTAACTTTTCCCCATGCTCCTGGAGCATCCTTAAAATAACATTTAACTCAGAGAAAATGCTAGCCGACCAGCTCAATATTTTAGTGTGAGGTGTAGTAATTTTGACAATAAAACCAATCCTTTATTCATAACTAAGATCACCAGTATGATAGCTTTTTTTTTAGAAAATGAGATTAATTGTGAAATCTGTAGAAAAACAAGGATAAGAAGATAATTGATGAAATTCAAAAATTAGTTAGCAAGTATTAACCTATTTTCATTTTATTGCAGAGGGCATTAGTTTTATGCAGTGAATAATTTACTGTAGTACAAATTACTGCTTTAAAGTGACTATGCTTATCACCAAATCGATGCATTGATTCCACCTCAGAAGCAGGATCTGGTGCCATTCAGATTTTTACTGGAGTTGTACTTCCTTTCACGGTTTTCTTCAAGTGATGATAATTAGGCAAGATTTTCATCAGGAAGTCTAGCTGCAGAGTTTGTGGCTGTAATTAAAAAGATTATAAACCAATTGAAGAGGCGTTCAAGCACAGGGTAACAACTTTAAAACTTTCATACTGTCAACTTTATCATTAAGCAGTGGCAAGATTTTATTTAAAGAACAAAAGTTATTAAATTGTAACTGTTCATTCTTTTCTCTCACGTTGGTGGAATTAAGTAATAGAAAACTTTGCCACATTTCATCCAGATTATAATATTAAGCTGTTAAACAGCATGTGTCAAATGCAAAACAGCTATCTTGACTGCTGTAACATTGGTAAAGATTCTCTTAGTGAATATTCCTCATATAATTGTGACCATCATTTATGACTACCCGACTCCAATGTTTCAAACTGTTCATCAGCACCAATAAGCTGAGGAATTAAGCAAGTGTTTCGCAAGAATGCAAGCAGAAAGCCTGCTCTGCCATTAAATAAGGTCATGACTTAGAGTTCGCGTTAAAGCTATTTTCCCAAAAACCCAAAATTTCCTTTCAATTTTTTGTCTTTAATTTGACCATAGACTAGATCTTAAGGTAAACTCAGCAGTATTTTTAAGACATTTAAATATTTAAGTTTGTATCTGCATTTAAGTAAAACAGCTTGTACCTTGCAAAAGAAACTTCAAGAATTCCAACATCATCTTTATTTACTAGAAGAAGGAAATATATCTGATTTCATCACTAACAGTCATCATTACAATACAGCTGAAGAGGCATCATATGAACTGAAGAGGACTGTTATGTTCAGAGGCCTCATGGTAAGGAAAGCAGTGATTTTTCAAAGGTTAGAAAACTGCAGACCAAGATTTAAGTCGTAGAAAGGTTAAGGTGGGATGAAGTCACCTATGCTAAGGGCTGAAATTTTTATGATGGAGAAGATATGCAATTGAAAACTGAACTAGAGAAAACAGGCCAGTGACCAGAGGTCACAGTTTCAAAATTATTGCTAAAATATCTAGAGGGAAGATGAGAAATTTATTCATTCAGTTATTGGAATCTTGAATGCTTTACCTGAAAAGGTGGAAGAATCATTCATCCCATGAATAACTTTTTAAAAGGGAATTCAGCAGGCACTTAAAGATGAAATGTTTATGGAGGTATGAACAAGAGAGAGGGATGCAAGACTAAAGCATGCCTGCTCTTTCAAAGAACCAACACAGGCATAACAGGCTGAATGCTCACTCTTTGAACTGAGTGTTTACATGCCTTCACTCCTTTGGCATCATTCAAAGCAGAATAGTACATATTCAATGCAAAAGATTTTCCATATTGTTCAGCAGAAGTATATATCACCATTCAGAAACTCCTGCCATCTGAACAAATACCTGATAAGATTAGAATGAGCACAGTGGCCTAACAGCTGTAGTTTTTGACTAGAAACTCAAAAGGTTAGGAATTTACATTGCACCATGGCAAACTGTGAAAATCAGTTCAATGTATTTGATGATGTGTGACCATAAGAGCTACTAAATTATCATAATACAATTTGTTTACTTGTCCTTCTGAGAAGGGACCTTGCTATCCTTTCCCTGTCTAGTCTAAAGGTAACTCCAATTTCACATTGTGGTCAATTTAACGACCTCCAGGGTGAACAATAAGTACAGATCTGCTGGTGTTGCAATGTCCCCACAACAAATAAAATTTAAAATGCATATCTTTGTGTCTAAATCAATTCACAACTTGGTCTCTTCCTTATCTCTAAGTTCCTTAAACTCTACAACCTTCAAAGATCTCTAGCCTCTTGTGCATCTGCATTTCCAGCACCTCTCATGCCTTCAACTGCCCAACCCCCAAGCTGTGGAATTTCCTCCCTAAACTATTCCAATATTTCTTCAGCTCTCACCCTGCCTTTATGATCTCCTTAAAATTTATTTTTTGATTAAGCATGGTCACTTGTCCTAATAGTTTTCTGTGATTTGGTGCCAAATGTTGTTTGATTATGGTCCTGTGAAGCATCTTGGAAAGTCCCACAATGTTAAATAAACTGTGGTTGGTTCGCTCGCCGAGCTGGTTCATTAGTTCGCAGACGGTTCATTATCCTGCTGGTAACATCATCAAGTCTATTTAGTCTAAAGCACCTCGTCAGCAAGTCACCCCACTCCATCTACAGTCCAGGAGTTCCTCAATTCCCTCAAAGACGTAAGAATAGATGAGGACGAGACCATGGTGTCCTTTGACGTTACCGCCCTATTCACATCGATTGACATACCACTGCATAGCAAGAGAACCACTGGCAACACTTCAGAAAGAACAAGACCCGAGTGACACTATCTCCACAAACAACATGCTAAAGTTACTGCACCTATGCTCACGATCCACTTTACCTTTAATGGCAAAATCTATGAACAAATCAACGGGACACCCATGGGGTCACCTATCTCAGGACTAATAGCAGAAGCGGTGATGCAGAGACTTGAAAGCGTAGCCCTTCCACAGATCCAACCTAAACTATGGATCCAATACGTGGACGACAGTTTCGTCATCAAATGGACTAGAGGAGGCACACCAACTTATAAACAACAGTCTCACCGGCATCAAATTCATCAAGAATGAACAGCTCCCATTCCTGGACGTCATGGTAGAAGACAGGGCCAATGGGGAATTTCTGATAAAGGTACACAGAAAGGCCACACACATGGATCCAGTCCTGAATTTCAATAGCAACCACCCCCGACACCCACAAACGGAGTTGCGTAAAAACACTATTTAAACAAGCAACAGCACACTGCAGCAACCCAGAACTACGGCAAAACGAAGAAGAATACCTTTACCAAGTATTTAAGGAAAACGGATACCCAAACAGCTGGGTCCAACGATGGCTATCACACAAACAGCAACAGGAAGATACAGTATGCCCTGACTCGTCACATTACCATACATCAAGAACATATCCAAACTGACCACAACTGACCACTGGGCATCAGAGTGGCACACAAACCTATGTCAACCGTGTGCCAACTTGAACTAAAAACTCCTTACCCACTATGGACAGAACCAATGTGATGTACAAGATCCCATGCAAAGACTGCGACAAACATTACATTGGACAGACAGGAAGGAAACTGGCCACAAGAATACTTGAACACCAACTAGCAACAAAAAGACATGACCCCACTCGTCTCCATTCATACGGATAAGGGGAACCACCTGGGACAACATCAGGATCCTAGGACAGGCCAAACAGAGACAAGTATGGGAATTTCTACAGCCTTGGTTCTCCACCAAGAAGGCCATAAGTAAATACGTAGAATTAGACCCTACATATACACCACTGAAGAAAAACCGGAAATGAGGTAACCAATTCCAACAGACCCCAGAGTTTAAATACCAGGCGGGAAAACAATAGGACTTTATCGGAGGCTGCACTGATGATGTTATCCGGCAGGGTAATGAAACGTCTGCGAACTAATGAACCAGCTCAGCGAGCAAACCAACCACAGCATCCACAACCTGAGCTACAAATCTACTCAAGAACCTTAGTTAAATAAAGTATATAAATGCAAGTTGTCATTGTAAATTTTCATAATTTTCCATTGAATTTCTATTCCTCAATGTGCAGATCTTACCTGTGGCCGTTCTGACTGCACTCTCCGCATACAGTCTACCCCATAGATAACAGTGTTCTCAGGAATAACTTCACAGGAGTTTACTTGACAACATGCTCCAATAATACAGCCACTTGTTAGGATCACATTTCTACCTATAAATGCTGAGACAGAAAAATGACAAATTACTAATGTCTTAAAGAATAAAAGCTGTGGATCAAATAAACCCTCACAGAAGTCTTAATGCATAGTATAATTAACATTTATTTACTCAAGAAAAATATAATCAATGTAACATAATCTACCCCAGGATTATGTTCTAGAGTCTTTCTAACACAATGTTTTGATTAAACCTTAGAGGAAGGTGTATAATAAGGGAGGTGCCTTGCAGAGTACATAAAGATTATAGTGATTTCCTGCATGCTGCACAACATCTCCAACATGAAATGATAGCCTTTGCCATCAGTTACATTGTAGGCAGCTGCAGAGCTGGAGAAAAGTGAAAAGATGAAGAGGAGGAAGGAATGAGGCAACCTCTGTGGTTATGTTGGCTATAAAGAGCTCATCTAACTTTGATACCGTTAACTACAACACCAACTCCTCATTCACTGACTGTCAGCAACATGGTAAGAAAGATGTAGACAAAGGTCTGGATGGTCACAATATAAAAAACAGCTAGTGTAAGGTAAACCCTTGTGGGAGAGAGGGATGTCTGCCTAATGACTGCCATACAAAAGGTGGTGATGTTGTTATTACAGTTGAATGCCTGACCCTGTGCAAGCCGAATTGTGGGTGTGAGGCTTGCAGCAATACGTGTGATAAAACGATGGGGTTATACAGAATTGAGCAATGTCTGATGCTAATTCTACAATTGAGAGCATATGGCACTTCAGTGCCCATTCACTGATCTTGATCACTCCTAAGGTCATTAAATTTCGTGTTGCATTGTGTCCAAAGTCCTTGGTTGTCATTTACCTGCACATCTGTCTGCCTCCATAGTCTATGTGTTTCTGGAAAGCCTCCTCCTACTGGTACAAGGTAACTCTCTTTCTTTCCACCTATTTCAACAAGGCCTTCAATGTACTGTCAGAAATATTGAAACTACTTTCCCATGTTGGCCCATTCTTAATGCTTCCCAATTCATTGTTCCCTGTATGACTGCTGGCCCCTGCTTCAGCCACTATGTACTGCCACTTTAATAAGTGCAAGCTAGTTTTAAAGGCGTGCTTGCCATTCATATAGGCTCCTGTGAAAACAAATCAGCATGCCATACTAGGTAAATGCTAAAATCATTGAAGTCAACAGGCAACCTGCACTGAAATCAAAAGGGACTGGTAATTCAGATACTACATGCCCTTTGCCCCTTTTCAACGGCTATAAAATTAGCTCCCTGGTGTCTGCATGTGTAGTAGCTCCCTTTAATGTTTTCAAATTTTGTACCAACAAAACTGCAAAGGAGTGTCAAGGGAACGGGAACAGTTTCAAGTAATGTAGAAGGAACAATCTGATAATACCTAATCCTTTCCATGGTTACCACCACAGTAATTCAGAGGTCTTCATGATGTTAAATTTAACATTAAGAAAATCCACAATTTGCAGAATTTTCTGCTCAAAAGCAAGATAAATAGGTCACATAAGAAACATTCCCTGTTTTTAATTTTTCTTTAAAGAACAAGTGATAGTGATAAAAAGGCAACCATTTAGTTCAGTCACTGTCACCATTCTATATATTCCCCTGGCTGATTTAAAACTCAAATTCACTGATCTGCTTTTGATCCATATCAATATGCATGGCTAACACTTAGATCCACTTAGCTTAGTCTTCTAACAGATGTGTGCGCGCATATTTACTTATGCGCATGCAAGATGTTCTGCTGCGACAGATCAGCAGACTAATCAGATGTATAGGCCTAGTCATTCTTGGTAAGTGAACATTCCCATCAATGCTGACTTCTACTGATCTCTTAATTATCTGTAAAAATCTTGGAGATAATTGAAAACAAGAAGAACACAAATTTAATTATTCAAATAATAGATATTCCTGTAACTACCAACAAATCATATAAGAAACTTTTGGAACAGCAAGTTTCAGCCAAAGGATACAGAACTTTTCAAACAACTTACCTTTAGATTCTATTACATTGTTATCTCCAATCTTCAAAGCTTCAAAACCTGATGAGTTTAGTTAAAGAAAGCTAATTTTCTCTTCCTAGATGACATGTCAGCCTGAGAGAAAAGTCCTCAGTATCTTAGTAGTATTGGTCCCAGCTTTTCTGTCCCTTCCACCAGTTCTGAGAGATAGGTATAATTTTAGTAAGCAGCTGCTGCCATGATGTGAGATAATTCAATCATAGATGGTAAACTGGAAATGATGACATAATTTGAAGAAACAGGCTCTAAAACGAAAACAAAGTTCGAATAAAAGTACATTAAGCAGGATGACGTAAAACCAAAGACTACCTGTATAGAGTGAGAAGAGTGAGGAGATACATTTTGGTAGAAGGGGAAGGGAGAGGCAATACACACTTAATAGCGAAGTTCTAAATGGTTTATAGGCAAAGAGGAGCCTAAGTGCATGAGGATAGATCATTGAAATTGCAGCCCTTATTGAGAATATAGACAGAAAAATGATTTGACATCTTGGACTTCATTGATGCACAGAAATAAAAGTGGTCAAGTCAAACTAAATCTTTAATTGTGATCTAAACAGAACGAGAGTAATGTATTTTGTCCACTTCTGGTCATCACACTTTCGGAAGGGTTTGAGGGTCCTTGAAAGGGTGTGCAAGGGATTTACCAGAATGCCCTGGTGACGTGAGGATTTTGACCAGAAGGTTAGGGGGTTGGTGAAGCAGGGGTTATTCTCCTTAGAACAAGCAAGATAGAGGGAAGATTTGATAGATGTACAAGAGTATGAGTGATTTGGATAAGGTTGCAAGTAAAAGCTGTTTCCATTAGTTAATGGTTCTAGATTTAGGGTATGATATGTAAAATATTTTGGGCAAGAGAAGCAGAGGGAATGCAAGGAAAATTTGTCATAACGAGGTGACCTGGAACTCAGTGCCCATAAGGGTGGTGAAAGCAGAGACAATTAATTTCAGAAGAAACTGATAAGGCACTTAAGGGAAATAAACTTGTAGAGCTACAGATAGGATATAGGAATAGAATGGGTTGGTTTGCTCCAGGGAAAGCCAATAGAGAGTTGATGGGTTAATTGGTCTTCCTGTGTCATAAATGACTGTATATACAGTGAAGCTAGATACAAAAGGAAAGAGATTGCCGATAGGGTGAGATAAGGTGGAAGGTGCTCAGATGGTCAATAACACCTAAATAGACAGTTGGCCAGAACTCATTCTCTATCCTTGCTACAGAACATTTCCTCCTCTGCAAATCAAACCCCAACCCTCTCCCTTACAAATGCCTGAGGCTGAACCACACTCTTTGCAACCTTCATGTCACAGCTGATCAAAATTAGCTTCCAAACACATTTGTACCATCACTAGGATATTTCCAAATTTGGAAATTTCAAGTTTCCATGCTGTATGACTGTGACTTAATTTCTTCAGAGATGAATTACTGCTAGACATCTTAAAAAAAAAAATTGTTTCTTCGTCTTTCTCAATTCAACTGTTATCAAACAAAGTGACCACACTGCCACTTCAGCCCATTCCGCCATTCATTAAAATTATTTGATAAGGTTATCACCTTAACTCCACATTCTTGCACTGCATCCTTAGCTGTTTTCTGTGCACCATTTGAGATGGAATTCAGCGTTTTAACTGATAATATTTATACTGCTCATAAGCAATCAGCTCAATTGTTAGCTGTCATATAGTTACAATCATAGAGATGTAGAGCATGAGAATAGATACTTCACTCAAACTCGTCCATGCCGACCAGATAGCCCGAATGATTCTAGTCCCATTTGCTGACATTTGATCCATATCCCTCTAAACCCTTCCTACTCGCATATGCGTCAAGATGCCTTTGAATGTTGTAATTTTACCAGCCTCCACCACTTCCTTTGTTTGCTTATTCCATACATGCACCATCTGCCTGAAGAAGTCACCCCTTAGTTTCCTTTTAAATCCTCCCTTTCTCACCTTAAACTTATGCTCTCTAGTTTTGGATTCCTTACCCTGGGGAAAAGATCTTGGCTATTCACTCTATCCACACCCCTCATGATTTTATTAGCCTCTATAAGCTCTTCCCCCTCAGCCTCCGATGCTCCAGGGTAATAGCCTCAGCCAATTCAGCCTCTCCTTATAGCTTAAGCCCTCCTATCCTGGAAACATCATTGTAAATCTTTTCTGAACCCTTTCAAGTTTCACAACATCTTTCCTACAGCAGGAAGACCAGAACTGAATGCATTATTCTGTAAGTAGCCTAATGTCCTGTACAGCTGCAACATAACCTCCCAGCTGCAATACTCAATGCACTGACCAATAGAGGCTAGCATACCAAAAGCTGCCTTCACTAACCGGTCTACCTGCAATTCCACTTTCAAGAAACTATGAACCTGCACATCAAGGTCTCTCTATTCGCAACACTCCCCAGGACCTTACCATTAAGTGTATAAGTGCTGTCCTGATTTGCCTTTTCAAAATGCAGATCTCACATTTATCTACATTTAACTCCATCTCCTTGAGACCTCTTACAAATTTGCTTCTCAGTTTCCTGCTGACTAATGGGAGGTCTACACTACAATCCCAATAAGGTGATCATCCCTTCATTTCTCAGTTCCAATCAAATAACTTCACTGGACGTACTCCCTGGAATATCCTCCCTAAGTACAGCCATAATTGTTTGCTCAGTTTGCACCTCGCCATATGCCCTGGTATGCCACTCACTCTTTGGCTCACAGGAACCTGCTATGCAAATGCCTATGGGCGTGTCAGACATTTAATAGACTGCTAGTGTTGCTTACTCACTGTTATAAGTGAAATCAAGCCTGAAAGGACAGTTGCATTTCCCTATTTTTCAAACAGCTTTTTCTTTAAAGAATTATCCTTTTGCCTGAAGATAAATTAAGCCTTTTTAAAACCATAGGCATTTCTTTAATTTAGCACATCTACATATTTACTTTTAAATAATGCTTGTACTTACTGACACCAAGGAGCATGCACATTATCAATGGTATGTCCTATAAATATAGTGATAAATTTTACAAATATCAATCGCTGATAACTTAAATGAAACAGTATTTCTACTTTGTTTTTAACTTTATATTAAGCCACAGAAATAAAGTAAATCAATAATTTTCAAAAACTGGCTTCAAAATATGTGCAAGGGCAGTCGGAACTACTTGGCAGTGTCTTTCTTAAATTCATTAGAGTATCTTAATAAACCAGTATATTGAGAGATTTTACAGTGGCCATAAAATGAAAAATAAATGTATTTATTTTAATATTCAATAGTTGTTTAATATTGTATGCATGTGTGTGCGCATGCATGTGATGTGTTGGTGTCAGCAGTACAGATTCCCTAATTAAACTGCTTTAAAACTTCAAAGGATGCCAGTGACCACTTTATCTCATTGGAAGAAAATAAAAATTGGGTTGTCAATAACAGTGACTTTACAGC